TTTAACCTATATTAGTTTATTTTTATTAAACGTTTATAGTAGTAGTATAGTAGTAAACGTTTATTTTAGTATCTTAAATACTTATTATTATAAGTCTTTCTACCTAAACTCTTAGTTCTTTTTAGTAACTTCTATAAGTAGAGTAGTAATCTATAAATATTCTTAGATAAACTTTTAGTAGTAGTTTATAAATTCTAGAAAGAATTATACTTCTTTTACTATTTAAAGTATAGGCTAGTCTAGAACCGCCTAGATCTTATTTGTCTCTATCTATATTCTCTCGCAAGTTAGATAAAATTCTAAGTAGCTAGTCTCTATATAGTAGAACTTACTTTTATTAGAGGCTATTAGAAGTCTATACTCTCTAAACTTCTATAGCGTTTTCTATACGTAGTTCTTATATTCTTCTAGTTCTCTCTTTAAGTATATAAGTATATTATCTAGATAGGCTATAGTAAACCTTTCTATATATTTATATAGAGCTATATTAATTATACTTTAGAACGTTGCTAGTACGTTAGTAAGTCTAAATAGCATAACTAGGTATTTATATAGACCTTCTCTTATTCTAAAGGTAGTTTTCTACTTGTGTTCTTCTTTAATTTATATCTAGTAGTACTCTTCTCTAATATTAAACTTTGTAAACTATTATACTCTTGCAAGCTAGTCTATTAGCTCTAAGATTATAGGTAGTAGATATTAGTTCTTTTAAGTTACTTAATTAAGTTGTTAGTAGTTAATATATAGTCTTAACTATCTATTTTTCTTTAGTACAAATAGTACTAGTAATACTATTAGACTCTAGCTTTCTTAAATATATCTCTTTTAGAGAAGTCTCTTTAGGTATCTTTAGAGTTTCTCTCTTTACTTATAGCTAAGTAGGTATATAGGTTCTAGTTTTAGCGTAGCCTTATCTTCTATAGGTATCTTATAGTCTTATAGTTAGTATTTAGGTAGAACGCTATTATTCTACTTGTTAAATAATAACGCGAACTTCTTATAGTCTTTCTTAATCTTCTAAGGTAGTTACTCTATATTAGGTTATAGCTTTTATATTTATATAATGCTAACGTCTTAAGGTTATTTCTTTACTTATTTTGTTAAACTTGCGAGAGATATTCTTCTAATCTTTACCTCTAGCTTTTAGTAAGCTCTTAGGTAGTGTCTTACTCTAGCCTTCTATACTACTTTAGGCCTTTTCTAGAGTTTTAGTCTAATCTAACTCTAGAAGTACGTCTATATTTTCTAGTTCTATAATATTATAGAACTGTTATTTCTATATTCTCTAAATATCTAATACCTATACCTTAGTTTCTAAGTAAATTTATTCTTAGCTAAAGGTAGGTAGCTAGTTATCTACAAGTTATACTTAGTATAGCTATTATTTTTCTTAAAATAGTATATTCTATAGTTTTACTAGGCTAGTAGAAATATACGTTTTTACTACTCTACTATCTATATAGGCTATAAACTTTTTATTTTCTAATATAGCTTTTATGCGTAGCGTTCTAGGTTTTAGAGTAATAACTTTATCTATAGTCTAAATAGAGCCTTTCTAGGCTAGACCTCTACCTTAAAGGCCTACTAGTTTTTTAACTTTAAAGAGGTAGCTAGTGTTAATCTCTGTTTCTTTTTTGCTATGTATACTAGGTATCTTTCTAGTAAGTATATAGTCTAGTAGAGTTTTATATATTTATTCTTAGCCTTTTTTCTATAGTATAGACACTTCTATTTAAGAAAGCACTATCTATAGTTAAGTGTATAGTAGTTAGAGTATTAGGCTATCTATTCTATAGTTTAGTATTATTTATAGTAGTATTAGTATTCTATAGTATACTACTTCTATAGTTTAGCGTAGTATTCTTTACTATAGACTTTCTTAACTAGTTCTAGTATTACTATTTAGCTAGTGTCTCTAGGGCGTAGGTCTATGTACGTAGCTACTTAAATTTCTCTCTTATCTAGTCTCTGTATACTAATAGCCGTTTTAACTACTACTTTACCTTTCTCTCTATAGACTACTAGCAGGTAGGCCTAGTAGACGTAGTTATAATCTAGGTAGTCGCCTTTATATAGCTAGCATAACTTCTACTATAGGTGTACTTTAATTTTCTAGTTATATATAAATAGTCTAGAGAGTTTCTTCTCTTATAATAGTTTAGTTAGGTGTACCTTATAGAAGAGATTCTTATATTTACCTCTTTCTATATACCTTAGTTACTACTATTTAGCTTTCTAGGCTCTAGAGTAGTTTATAGAGAAGCCTTAGTATATCTTCTAGATATACGTATACACTTCTTTATCTATAAGATATTCTACTAACCTAGCTACTTTCTTAAGAGTGTCTAACGCCTTCTAGAATTTATTATTAGTAAATAGAATATTCTAGTATACGTGCTAATAGTTCTATATATTATAGAATTCTGCGTATATCTAGCACTATCGTGCGTTAATACGTTATTAGATAGTATCTAGAGTAAGGTATTTAGTATATACAAGGTATTCTAGCACGATAGCTCTAACTCTTATTAGGTACTATTCTAAGTTAACCTTATTTCTCTAGTGTGTTATATAGCTATTATTATAGCATGCTATTTATATAAGGCTATTATAGTCTACTTAGATTATTCTAACTATTTTCTTTTTCTTTAGGTATTCTTGCGTAAAGTGTTCTTTTTCTCTATAGACTAGGCATAGTTCTTTCTTAAAGTACTGTACCTTTTCCTTACTTTTTAGAGTTTGTTTCTCTTTCTATAGAGTCTTAACCTAGTTTAGGTCTATAGAGTCTTCTTAGAATATAGTCTATAGTCTTCTAGTTCTAACTATTAGTAGTATAGAGTAATCTCTACTCTATTAACGTTCTAAATTTCGTTTATACTATTAGTTATTAATTTTTACTACTATTTCTATTATGTTGCTTAGATTCTTAGGTTATTTAGCATATATAATATTGTCTTTAACTAACTTCTTTAACTCTTTATAGAAGAGTCCTGCTAGTATAAGGTTATTCTAGTCTAGGTAAGCGCTTAGCTATCTAAACGTAGCTGTATACTAGAATACTAATCTAGTTTATTATAGCTAGAATAGCTTTTTCTAGACTACCTTATATACGTTAACTTCTCTAAACGTTTCTCTAAGGTGCTTTATAAACCTAGTCTAGCTTTTAAAGATTTTATCTATAGACTATTATGTTCTCTTTATATTACTCTTATTTTCTAGCTAGTCTAATATATAGAGTTTAGCCTACGTAAAAGCCTTCTCTTCTATATTTATTATAGCTTCTAGAATCTTATTCTTATTCTATAGAAATACTATAGTATTATACTATAGGTAGAGTTCTATAGCTACTAGAAATACGTTAAGATTCTTTCTCTTACTATTAAAGCGTTATAGTAGAGTAATCTTAGCCTAGACCTATTACTTTGCTATAGCTAGCTCTTCTACCTAATAAACGCTTATCTTCTAGAGTACTATAATAACTTATTAGAGTTCTATAATCTATTTCTCTATAGTTAGTTTTCTAGCCTAGGCCTTTTTAGATTAGGTTCTAACTATTAATATAATAGTTCTACTCTTTAACGTTAGGTAGTTATTTTATTATAAGCTATTCTCTTAACTAAGACTAGAGCTTACGTTTATAAAAGAAGGTAAGGGGTATACTTTAGGCTAGAATCTTTAGTAATAAAGAGATAAAGGTAATAATACTATAAATTATAAGTCTCTATAGTAATTTTAGTAAATAAAGTAATAACTATAAGAAGCTATAAGAAGTAAGCTTCTTCTAGTTATATATATATACTATCTTAGCTAGATTAGATGCTAAGGTCTAGCTCTTATAGATTTCTTAGATTAGATTCTAATCTATAGATTAGGTTCTAATCTCTCTAATTTATCTAATCTATATTACGTAACTCTAATTATTCCCGTAACTTCGCACGTAATCCCTTGTCTTGTAACCCTAGGCTTAGCTTACCGTTTTCTCTATTCTAGCTAGCTAACTCTGTTTTCGATTCTACAATCGTAACATATAACTATTAGATAAATTGTAGAGTATTAAGATATAAGTTAATTAATTAAGAATACGAGAAATATAGCTATATATATACATAACTAGGTTACGTAAAGTAGTAACTATATCTAGTAACATTATATTAAGTAGGGGAGCTTGGCATAGTGCTGCGGGCAGGATTTAGAGAACCCAAGAAACAGCGCATAGTTAGACTCATGAAATTCGTCCCGACTGTAGTTGGTAGAAGCAAGCAGGCGACAGCACATTCGAAAGGATTCCTGATGCTGGTTGGATTGCACAGCTCCGCTTGTCGCCATTTTGGTAGGCACTAACCTGCAGCAGATACGGCCGCAACTGTTAACAAGCGGTTAGCCTAATTTTACGAGAAAATTTCCTAGCGCTAGCAAACTTACAATGTAGAAAATATAACGCCTTCCCTTAATGTTAGCGTTTACAGCAACCGGACGGGATCTAGCGCAGGCGGTGGGGCGGCTTACTAAACAGCTTTGCTTGTTTAAGTCGGCACAGCCACGGGAACGCAAGAGTGTCGAGTGTGAGGGGATCTTTTTCGAATCCGTTATGCTTTGAAAATCACCGAAAGCACGTACAAGGTACGCACCACGCTGCGAAGGAGATGGCGGAAGTCGTTTAATCGTTCCCTAATAGGGTTCTACGCGATAATCTCTGCGTCGGAGAGCGTAGCCATGGAGGCAACGACGCACATAAGAGGGGAATAGGTAGGCGCGTCGCTAGAAGAAGACGCCCTGAGAGTTGACCCACACATTTCCCGAACGTACGTCTACTTCTAATAGCTGTGCAGGACTATAGTCTATATCTGTATTCTTTAAGGGAAGGAACGCGGGGGAAAAGCCAGTCACATTTTCACAAGCCGGCATCGTGGTTAAAAGCTGTTCGCAATATTCCCTCCGCCAAAATTCCCTTCGCTAAAATTCCCTTCGCAAAAATTCCCTTCGATTTGCATCTTCACAAAGGAAGCATGACAGGCTCTTCGCAGATCGCGGACCCGGAATGTATAAGCTATGAAGCCACTGAGATATTTGCACGACAACTCACGTCGGAATGGACGCGAGAAAAAACGCCGTATAGGTTTGATGATGCATTGGAGCGAGCGCGCTCTGCATCAGAAGAAGATACAGCACGAATCTTTCTGGACGCTGGTTTCTCGGCTTGGTTAGCTTACTTTCTTGCAACAAATAGTTCCACTCGTTATTATAAGGGGCAACAAGCTGAACAGCAAACACTTGCTGCTTTCGAGCGGCTATCCACCGAAAATCGAAAGGTGGTAGCAACTAAACTCTTTAATACTAAAGCTCACGATACTGTTCGACCTATGATAGAGCAGTTATCAAACCGATTAAAACGTCGCCGTGAGTTAACAGTGGACTTGTTTATGCTCAGCTTGTAACACAATTTAATAGGTGTCGACAACACCGAGCCTTCGTTACCTATATCTCCACGAACGACCGTTTCGACTACGCGACCCCGGAGCGAGACACAAAGCAGGTTGACGGCGAATCATCAAACGATATCCGATTGTGCTCTGGGTGGCACAGCTGAGCCTGGACACACGACGACTACGACGAGATCTTGCTCCGTTTCAGTTTCTCTGCCAAGCGAGACGCTTAATAGTGTTGAAGTAACGAAGTGGAGTGTAACATTGTTGATTGTAAGAGACCAGAAAGCTCTGGCTATATACACTAGGCTAGCGCGATCACGTGATCAACACGTGATCCTCAACAGTAAACAATACGTTCCAGTCCTCCTGCCAGGTGCCGTATGGCGGCTTCCGCCAACAACAGCTACACCCTAATGCCTCTTAGCGTATCCGATCTATTATCGAATCCGTCCTCGGCAGATGTAGCCTTGGACATTAGCTGAGATACAAGGCACTCCCCGGACATATTGAATGCTTCAGAAAGGGGGGACCAGAAGCCGGTCTGCGTGCGCTTATCGTCGAGCACTAGGCTAAAGGATCGCGAGTGGATTACTACGGCGGTTCACACTAACATGATTTGCCTACGGAGAAGGGCGAACGGTCCTTGCACGAAACATCTCAGATTGCGCTTGACGCAGCAGGCTCTAAGGCCAGCGAGAAGGAATTTCCAGATGGAGGCTTGTGAGTTCCTCTCCCATGTTGCAACCACATGCTCTGACATAACGTTAGGGTAATTCGCGATGCTCGACTCTACGCCGAAAGCAAGACGGGATATGCAATCACTTTCATATTTGCGACAGCAGAAGTACTCGCCGCTTGGCCTAAAATTATCCTTCCGAACTCACCGGAATTGGTGCGAAAGGTCGTCAACATGGAGAGCCCCAAAATCGGGGTGAACTTCGCAATTAAAGATTCAGCTGGAGGCACAAACAAATAGTTGTCGCTGCTCATGATATGCAGTTTAGAATTTCCGTCCCATACTGTCCGATACCCACCCCATATCTTCAGTGTATGGGATAGAGCTTATCATCTGTAAGAGAGGGGCATCATAGCTGTCACCTCTGCTCGGTCCTCCCACCGAGTTGAGGTAAATCGCTTGTGTTGAAATGTCACCAAAGCTACCTATAGCCGAGCCTGTCGCGACTTCCCCGACCATGGGCATTGGCATGGATGTCGTAGCCGACTGCGTGGAGGGAAGTAATGGAGTTGCACCTTGATCGATGTTAGTAGAGCCAGGGCGCTTGAAGAAAATCAATACCATTAATCTGTTGGGAGTTGTCCGTGGTCATTATACCAACCCCCTTGATTCTTTGAGCTTCCGACATCCCTGGATCTATGCCTGCTGCCTCCCACGCTCTTTTCTTACACCTGCCCTTAGCACCTGCTAATAGATTTGCGCTTTGTGCAAGACCTAGCTCGTTGTCGACTCGACGTCCTAACTCATCATACGTCGTCTGCATATATGTCGCCTTCCTGCCCGTCGCGTGTCTGTGGTTTCCTTCGGCATGTCTCATAAACTCGCTTGCTAGTCTAAACAGCTTAAAACAAAACACACATACTTCCTCGCATGTGACGTCTGTGATTAAGATGTTATTAGGCTAGCCATATATTAAGAAAGTGGCGGAAATTCACGTTGTTGAAAGTGCCGTCGAAGTTTCTGCCTAGTTAAAAACGGTTTTGTCCGTTCACATTCATGATAAGGACAAACTTTTATTTTGGGGGTAGGGTTACTAAGGTCGTCCCGGACATTACCATCATTACCGTCGCCGTTTGCTCTCGAGTGGGTTCGACACTTCTCGAGCTGAGCAGAGTGGTAGCCTTCCTGGGACTAGAGGAAGTTAGTTTCGTACCGGCAAGCTGTAATGTACTAACCTGAATTTCTGCAAGATGGGTATCTAACGCGTTACTGGTCGGAAAGGATGCAGAGCAAGTACATTCGTTGGCCTTATTCGACATATTGCCAATTGTTGAATGCAAAATGGCTTGAGCAAAGAAACGGAGCCGAAGGAGTGGGGGCGTTTCTGTCGGCATTGTGTTAATCCGACTCGAATATGAGACAGCACAACTCCAGCCACATCCCTATACTTTAGCTTAGTCAGATCTCCGTCAGAACTTTTCAATATTTTCAGCCAATCGCCGTGAGGCGTGACTCACCCCATCGAGGCACGAGGTCAAGATATAAATTACCTCAGAAGGGCTCTCAGAGTTGGGCAGCTAGGTTCGTCACCTCACTGAACACGTTTTGGGGCTCGTATCTCGAAAGTTATTGTCGAAAAGCTTTAAATCGCCTCGAATCACACCCCCTACCTTCTCTTCATCCTCTCGAAAGTAGAAGATGCCTTCATGCGAAACCTGCCACGGCAATGGTATCAAAGGGACCACATGCCCTACTTGCGGCCATCCAGAATCGGAAGACCGACAAGCAACATCTACTGGTGAGCATCTCTAGAGTCGGATCCTAATCTTATCCATCGTCTTGTGTTTGCGAGGGCCACATTAACTATTCCCAGGTGAAGGAAACAACTGAAACTCGTTCGGCTCGTTTTGCGTCAAATTGGGGCCGTGACTGTTAGCATGTAGCTGGGCGCTGTCAATGAAGATTTCATCCCATCCGTGGCCTACCAATTGGATTTCACAATGCCTGAGATACCCCGAATTTTGCCGTCCTGTAACGGAGTGTATTCACGGGCTAGCATGGGACAAATCGTTTACTGAGCCGGTAAAAGCCGGCGGTAATTACGCGTAAGGCGCCACGTCAACTTTAATGATGTGACCACAACTTTATGGTATCCCCACTAAATTGACCACAACTTCGTGGTACCCTCCATCTTGCGCTGACCACATCTTCGTGGTATGCTCCATCATCTCGCATTAACCACAACTTCGTGGCCTCTAAACAGCAGAACAGGTCGATCCTGGTACCGTACGCTTACCAATTAGCCAATACCGTAATCCACATTTTAATTACCCTATACAGGGCAGTCTCCCGACTACGGCTCTAGCAGTCCAGCTCTCTTGTCAGATATTTGTCTAGCCAAGTAGCGGTAAGGTAAGAAGACATCCGAACATGTCAGTAGCTGCTATAGCAAGGACGTAGCTGGAAATCGAACTTGGGTCGTTGAAATGATTCGGACTTGCCATGTACACCACCTGCGCCCCAGAAAATGTTCCATTGGAAGCTGGATTACACCTGCAGGTTTTGCCAGCACTTGCACGTACAGGAGGGCTAGTAATGGCCACATTTTGGTTTGAATGTGGCTTGCAGAAGAAACTATTGCCCAAACGCAGGCAGGGGCTGCAGATGCACAATCATGCATTGCATTACGACACGAAAATCCTTTGAAGGGCAAAACACCATCCTATCCTATCATTCCACTGCCGAGAAAAGAGGGAACAGAGGATCAACTGCGGGGTACCGATTGATAGTGTTCTGTTTACGTGTCATGCTCCCTGAGAGTACAAAGAATGGCGGACGTTCCCTAAAGGCATTGCTATTCTAACATCCAATCGCTAGCATCTACAGTCACTTGCCACCTGGTGCTCAACTCAAGCACTATCCACCATGACCTCATTTAGCACTGCTACTTCCCAAATTCATTCGATCCTGTCTGAGCAGATCCCTCTTCTGGACCTCCTCTTCCCCGGCTTCACGCCCCTATCTTCCTCTCTCTGGCCGCTTCTCACAGGTGCCCCGGGTCTCTATGGACGGCTGCTCTGCATCTGCGGGTTGCTCGTGCTAATTGGAAAATATGTCCCGGAATACTTTAGGACGTTGCTGAAAGCCCATTTCAGTCAGTTAACCGTCTTTGGAGAGCCTGTGCTATTTTTCTAACAGATCCATAGCTTCAAAGATGGAAGTGCCTTATAACGATGAAGCGTATGATATGCTCATTTCTTGGGTGTGTTCTCAGCCATTTGCACGATCGGTGCGCGCTTCCCTTGCCAAGGTCGCTCTCGAACCTGGGCGTGGGAATAAACCTGGATCGCAGGCCTATGTCGGAGACGATACAAATAAGAAGCAACTGCACTACTCCCCTTGGAATGGTCGCTTTTACTTCTAGCACAAACACTATCTATTCGTTTTTGAACGCAATCAAACTCGCGGAGAGCTCGGTTTTACCCGGGAGGAAGTCTCTATATCGTACTTCGGGCGGAATTCAAATGTTCTAAAGGAGCTTCTAGATAAATGCCGCCGGCATTATTTAGGACTGATTGAGGACGATACTTGTGTCTTTGAGCATTAGGGAGAGAGATGGACACCGTCAAAATTAAGGAGCAAAAGAGATATGTTAACCGTGATACTCAACAAGGAGTTAAAAGAGATGCTGGTAGATGACATCTCGGAGTTTCTGGATCCGACAACTCGGAGATGGTACTCTGCACGTAGTATTCCCTATCAACGAGGGTACTTGTTCTATGGGCCACCCGGAACTAGGAAGTCCAGCTTTAGCTTTTCTGTTGCAGGACAATTCGATTTAGATATTTACATCCTCAATATCCCTACGCTCGACAACCAAAGTCTAAAGACACTTTTCGCTGAGCTTCCTCAACATTGTGTTGTCATACTCGAAGATGTCGATGCCGTCGGCTCGAAACGGACCGGAAGCAGCGATAATGGTCAGAGCACCTCTCCTACACAGATACCTGCCCTCAAGAAGCTGTCCCTATCCACTCTTCTCAATGTTCTTGACGGTATCGGATCGCCAGAGGGTCGAGTGTTAATCATGACAACCAATTATATCGAGCACCTGGACCCTGCGCTTATACGTCCCGGTCGCGTGGATACGAAGGCCGAGTTCCATCTTGCCGACGAAGACATGATCAGTCAGCTGTTCTTCTTTGTCTACGATTCCCAGCCGATAAACGTCACCGGAGGTGACGAATCGGAGAAAGGCGTCTATCGGACTGGGAAAGAGAGCATCGCACAGGGCTGCACGTTATCCCAACTAGCCCAGGAGTTTGTCGCGAAGGTACCGAAGCTGGAGTTCAGTCCAGCTGAAATCATGTCTCTTTTGCTGACGAACAAGCAATCACCCCACCAAGCTATTGCCAGCGTGGATACGTGGATGGAGAGGATCAGAGAAGAAAGGAAGAAATTTGCGAGAACAAATTCGTGGGCGCTCGACGACAATGATGGATTCTAGGACTATTAATACTGTCTGCACGGATTATCCTATTGCGCAGCCGTGTCAAGAGGATGTGGGCCGATGTTTGCCGTTTCCACCCGGGGAATCTCGGGGACCATGAGTTCAGCGCACTGTCATACAGCACATTTCTTTTGAGAGTATCGTTTACTCTAGCATGTTTTGATCGATCGCAAGCGGTCAATCCCCTAAACCTTCTCCATTTACTATGAATACATTTCGGCCTGTGCGTGTCTGGGACAGTCGCATGAGCGATCCGGAGGGTGGACCCTGAGATGAAGCGCCGTATGTCATACAAGTAGTAGCGACGCCTCGTATTACCCCAGGTCGAGGCTGCGCTGCAGACTTTGGCCCGTGGATCGCTCTTTTGATAAAGGATCTGCGGCCATTGGTGCTTGAGGCCGAAGCTGGCGGTCGTCCTGCGAGGATGGTGCTGTTCTACGACAAGTCGGCTACGAACAGTATGTGATCCCAAAGCACACGACCTGCGTTAAAACATCCAGCCCAAGATTTCCGCGAACGCGCCCAGACGATCCCTCACTATGATCGGGAACCTTTAGGGCTAACTTTTTCTCTTCCACGTCTACCTAACCCCCTGCTACGACAATTCTGGGTATTCTAGATCCTTCCGCGCGTCCCGAAGAATCTCCTTTATCCGAGAATAGAGCGTCCTGTCTTCCTTGTTCTCCCACGGTTTGTCCATTGGGAAGACAGCCCTCCGCAACCTATTAACACATGGAATCAACGGCTGGTAGTAGGGTGTGAAGGCCTTAGTTATCCGGTTAAGGAAATGCCTTTCTCTACTGACCAGCCCCGATTTTAATTCAGCCAGTTCTTCCATACTCACATAATTCCACTTCTCAAACTCAGTTGCCCCAATATCTTTACCTGGCCCGTCATAGTGAATGCATATCCAGAATAGCACCCAGAAGAACGACTCCAGATCGTGCATGAACGAATGCTTTTCGTCGTCGAGAAGCACCCCGATTGCCATGAACGCCCGTGTGCCGGTCTTTCCCCGTGCTCCAGAAGATGTCTCCCGCTGCTCCTTGATTGCAAGGTCGAGGTCGATCAAGAACGAGCGCCAGGAAGGGTTGTCATCCTCTTCGTTCACCATGAGGTTGCTTGGTGAGATATCGCGTAGTAGCATACCGGCTCGTGTGTGCAACGACTCGTATCCTTCGATGCAGCCTTCCAACGCGGCAAGAAGACTGGTCCGGGAGCTTGCTTTATAGATGGCCTTCCCGTAGTCACGGACAATGACGCGGCGATGCACTCGGTTCGCTGTCACCCTCTCCCCCTTTGTCGGAGAGCTCGAACAGGTTCGCTTGCCGGGCGGCAACGGTGCGCCCGTGCAGCTCGAGGACCGCTTCAGCCCGGCGGCGCAGAGCCCGTCTTCAGGCCCCGATCAGAACGTCGTGTAGAGCAATAGCGCGGCGCCCACTGCCATAGCCCTGCCCATCATGTCCCCAGCCCAGCGCCATCAGCCACCCTTCCTCGCGACGACTTTGGACGACCACACCTACAATATCACTGGAATTCTCGATTGGGAGCGCGCTGGCTGGTATCCGGATTATTGGGAATATTCGAATATTTTAAAGCCCTCCAATGACGAGGATTGGCAAGCCTGGATGGAGAAAACGGCAGCGGAGAATTGGGATATCGGAGGTCTCATGGCGGCGAGGAGAGTCTTACTCTAAAAATGCAGCTAGCATGCGAGCGGCATTGGGAAAAGATCCAGATAGTACCGACATCAGAACACATGAGGAGGCGAATGGGGACGTGGGAGCACTGGTGAAGAACACCAGCCAGAACTCAGGCACAACCAACGGGAGACACTTAAGAGACAGGAGGGAGGAGTATCTCTCTCACGCTGACCGGTATGATCGATTGCGTCGACGCATTGTGATTGAGAGCATTGGAAACAGCTTGTATTTGGGAAGGAAATTGAACACAAATGCAGGAGGCTCTTTGAAGCTTTGCAAAGTTGCCCGCGAACAACATGGTCTGACTGGTCATTCCTGAACTTGGCTTCTGTCATCAGAGTATGCTTGTAGCGCACAGAGCTGGATGAGATTTGATGAGTTGAGTTGCTCTTTCTTGATAGATTCGCCGTCAACTCTTTCAAACTCAAACTGGCGGCTAAGATCTTCCCGAAGTAGGATGTCACGGATTTTCAATAGCGACGTTGCTACCTCGCGAATGAAGTTCCCTCGTTGCTCGTCTAGCACATCGAGGAAGGTCTTAAATAATTCGGTTGAAAGCTTCTCAATGCTGCTTCCTCTTAGCAATCGGTGCGCTGAATTATGAGTAAGAGCTCACCGATAATTCTGAATCTTATACTCTTCGCCTGTAGGGACCAAAGCAAGGATCCCGATCGGGAACCGTTGTCGCATCAGATACCAGTTACGTCCGGCATTGGGCCTGTTTCTGAGTGCCAGCAGTTTCGTCGAATATTCAGCTTCCGAGAGCTCTCGTCGGTTCTGATGAATCTCTGGATAGGCCTGTGACATCATGTCATCTAGCGCCAATAATGCAGCACTCTTAACACTATTCCGTTTATTCAGCGGTTCCGCCACGTCGTCTGACATGTCCAGATTTTGCTTTAGGCGTCTTCGAGTCCGCGGTTTCTGTCTATCAGTTCTTGCTCCTTTTCTTGGCGGTATTCGACCAACTGCGAGAGAAAGAGTCTCCGCAAGATGGAATTTTGATAGTCTTCAGTCTCTAATTTGTCTAGAGCACAGACTGTCCCGTAGACTTTGTTATCGCGCCCAACCGTTGATGGATCTTGAGCGCCTCGAATTGCGATACAGGTCTCGCGCAGCTGGTAGAATGCGTCTGGGCTTGCGACGGCATAGAACAGATATGTCATGAGCAGCAACTCCTTCTCGCTAGCGCTCGTGCGATCCTTGAATGTTCGATATACCTCAGATGGCCGAGGGCTATTTTCAGGAATAGCAGGGAACTCCTTCAGTGATAAAAACTGGTCGTTCGTATCGGGAGCAGTCACTTTGGCTCTCTTAACCGACTCTGCTCTTACGCTCTGAGTTGCCGACATTCTCTTTCGTTTTCGCTGAGGTGGCGCAGCCGAAACTGCAGTCACTTGCTTCCGTCGACTCGATAATGCCCTAGTCGTCTGCACTTGCTTGCTGTTATTTCTCTGCCCACGGCCAATTACAGAATTATTGGCGCCCTAGACTGCGGTGAATATGGCAGCACATGATGCCAAATGCAATGCGGCCGGGGTACTTTAGAGCCTAATCCGACCTGCCCGTTCTCGCAACGCCGCGTCTCCTGTGGCCGGCACGACATCTGCGGGCGGCTAATAAGGTGCTAATTAAAAAGTAATAAAGGGCCGGCGGTCACGGGCGACGTCTGCTGCCCAGGTGTGCACCGTCTAAACAGCGCTGTAGAGAGCGAGGAGCCCAACCCTCAGGGCTAGAAGACGCCTATTATCGCCCCGCGCAGGCCCGCACGAGGTAGGCGCCGCCCCTATAGCACGCGTGGGCGGCAGAAGCGTCCAGCTTCGCAGTATTAGTTAACGCTCCTCGGAGGCACAACGCAAGCTGTCGCAGACGCGTTAAGCTACTCGCGGTAACAGTGGGCGGGAGACAGTAGACAGTATCCTAACGCCTATAGCCCCCACGCGCTGTCTGCCTTCTAAATTGCCCTCCCTCCGCCATGCAGCGCCCTCGTCTGTAGTCTCTAACGCTACCGCTATTATGCTCGCGCGCTGTACGTAATTGCTTCTCCCCGCACAACGTCGACTGCGCGGTACAGTAGTGCTAATGCCTAACATGGCCTGCCGTCGCCGTTAAACTGTCCTTAGCGTCCTTAGGCCACTCGCGCAGAGGCACTCTAATCGCATCTAGCGTCTGCGGGGTTCGACGTCTGCTCGCATGCTTGAAATGCCGTGCAGCCTAGCGCTCGCGGCACCGCGAGACCGTCTCGGATATTTCCTCGCCGCAGCGCTGCTATTAGCTAGCGGCGCAGAAAAAGCGCAGAAATGCGACTCTTAAAAGCGAGCGCGCTAGGATGCATCCGCTCGCGCTAGGCGCGCAAAGGGGCCTGTTGCGCTAGCGTTAAGGCTGCTTACTAGACATAACAGGCGGGCGTAGCTTAGAGGAGTGCCGCTAGTGCGCCGCACGACGAGGCCGCTAATAGACGGCGCTGTTACGTCTTTACTGCTACTCGCGGCGCCGTCGCACTATGCGCTTGCTTTGCTTTAGGCAAAATTCGTCTCTAAGGCTGATGCACTGTACAGCCTCTTGCGAGTAACCCGCCTTCCGCGATAGCTGCGCTCCTCCGCGCAGTAGCGCTGTTTAACTGCGTCGCCCCGTGCTAGCATGCCCTAGTAGGCAGGCCTGTTGTCAACTGCTCCGCCTAGCGCGTCGACTGCGCGCCGCTAACAGGGAGCTTTATGTACGTTTTGTGCTCGTCCTTTCTAGCGGGAGCTAGCTCTAGACAGGGGGGCTTGTTTAAGCTGTATTATTTAAATAATTTCCCCTGCAACCGACTAGAGGCTAATCCCTCTAGCACACCTTACTAACCTTTCTTGTCGTATATTATCGCGGCCCTTACGCTCGTCCCTATTCTAGTTACGGGCCCGCTGCAACCTCTATTCTAGACTACTACTACTCTCGCTAACAACTCTCTACCAGACACAGCTATATCCCTCTTTTTTAGCTCTATTTCTGCCTCTGCTCTGCCACGCAGAGCTTAGCATGGCCCTTAGTCTCTCCGCCACCTAGACCAGCGTTTTCTGTCTCTTGGTGCGTCTAATCATGCGTCTTATTATCCTAGTCTTCTTCGTCGCTGTGAGAACCTGTCGTCTCAACTAATCCAACATTATAGGGAACATTTAGGAAGAGACCGGCGTTGGAGTTGTTAATGCTACGACTAGACTCCTCTTCGTCGACAGTCTTAGTTAAATTAGAGCTTATTTTAGAGCCCTCTACATCCTAGCTTTCTAAATTTTGGGGGTACTGCTCATGGGTCCCTTAGTTGTGAGACTTAACTGTCTTAACAGATTCTCTTCTGTTGCAAAATGGTCCCCTGCTAATGGGACTGCGCTGTTCGTCCGTCACCTCAGATGCGTAAATATCTGGAGATAGAGACTGCTGATCCTTATTTGACGCCCATCGGTTGCGCCGATCGCTGGGCGACTCATTTAAGGAAGCTTGGGCAACAGTACTCGAGGAATTCTGGTGCGTAGATTCTGGAGTGACATCTAGTCTTTGGTTTAGATCGGAAGATGAGCATGTCTCTCCGACATCAGGCGTGACTAAAACCTGGTGTTTTGGTGTGGGTTCCGGTGTTTTGCCTCGTTCAGGTATATCTAGAACAGCCTCATTGATTCGACTCCGGCCAAACGATACGACTTCGTGAATTGGCCTTGCTGAAGGCGACAGCGATGCATCTGCTGCGACTCCACCGACACTCAAACAAGGCTCAGTATTCTCGAATACCACGGGTGGTGAGAGAGCAGTAACTTCAGCGAACGGCTCGAATTGTGAAGACTGCGAACCGTTATCATCGTCCATACCATCCATGAGTCCTTGCGCCGCGTCGAGCATATAGGCGTCCATGAGTTCATCAGCAAAGCTATGAATCTCTCGTTGAATTTGCTCTCTCAACTCGGGCCGGCTATCAAGCAGGGACGAGATTTCCGCTCGGACGCGGCCTCGAATACCTTTAAAGATATGAACGATTAGCTTAGCATAACCGCGTGCCATTGTGACCTACGTCTTCAACCGTGCTCATGATAACATCCGAGTTATAAACCAGGCCAGAATTCGATCCGAGGTTAGCCAAAATTGTCTTTATGGTGATCCCAGAAGCACTGTTAGTAGAAAAGTTGGATCGCTCAGAAACAGTTTGGTTTGGTCTGGTTAGGATCTCTCACGCCCCTCTGCTGAGCTAGGCCGGTAGGCTGACTAATCGATTAAGCTCATTCCATGGAATTAGCAAATGCCACACAGCCACCTTTAGTTTCTAATTTTATGCTGCCAAGAAATTTCATATGTCATGCAATCAGGGGTCCGAGCGGCATCGCCCAGCAGATGTATCCAACTGACATTAGTTGGAGTGACGTGCAAATGGATCACTAGATTGATTCAAGAGATTACGCGGAGTATTTTTTTGGCCGTACCGGTGCTCATTTTAAATCCTCTCTCTGACCCGGTTTCTAGCGCTTTCTAGGTTAAAATTATGCCCCGTGGTGGAAAATGACCTCGCATTGCTATTTTTAAGCCCTAAAAGTGATTGGTAATGAGACGATTATCATCTTCCATATTTCGTGTCTCTTAAGGTCGCGAAATACAGTGTGATCTTTTCCAGTCATCCACTGACATGAATGCACGCGTGATTGAGAGTCCCCTTCCTAATAATCTCTCGGCAAAATCACACTTCCGCACTGGCGATCGCTTGTTTTCTATCCATTTTCAGCAGCCGCCGTTCAATGGGCACATCTGAGTGGTAAAGGTTCAATGTCCTTGGAGATGACGTGAATCCGTGAGCGCTGCTGGCGGGGCCAAAACGGGCTCTGAACACGTGATCGCTACGTTGTGGAAAAGCTGAATCTATGTCGCACCCATCCCCTTCTGCCTTTTAGACCTGCGTAAGCTGGGTCTCACGTTCCCCTGTCCTCCCTTTCGTAAAGCGTTCTCCGATATGCAAGTCCGCAGGTTGCTTACAATCTCCATTCTTAAACGGTCCGGATCCAGTCTATCCCACCAGTTGCCGACGGTAAGACCGCTCATCCGAAGCGCCGCATTCCTTACGACCATTGGGCCGCAACTTGAGGCATCGTGCTGCTGCGGTGTGGGCTGGCTAGGTTAGAGTGGGGAGTTCATGAGGACGTTGCTACTCACCGCCTCGATATACTTGAACTTCAAGTAGCCGAATTCCTGCTGCGGTGGTGTTAATGTATGCTGCCGTTCGCCAGGAGTCACACACGCTCACCAGCACTAGCTTGTCGACACGAGTCGGTTCGACCGCGTCATCAGCCGTCACTGTCGCGTCAATGATTTCTTGGCTTGCCATGGAGTCGTAATGGTAGATCGTTCGATCCTGTTCGTTAATCTCGAGCAATGAGAAGTGTCGGTTTTCGTGCTTGAGAGAGCAGAGGTGGATGAGATGATACTCCTCGCCATGAGATTGGGGCTGTACTTCCCGGCGGAAGTTGTCGACCTTCTTTCTCCAGCCGGCGAGAGGTCTCCGGATGCGGCTGATCTTACCGCTTGGTCCGAGCTGATCTAGTGGGACACTGTAGCCGCACCTCACGAAGTGCGGCTTCTTCGAGATCGTCATGCATGCAAGGATGAGCCAGGCGTCGAACCATTCCCCTGGGCGTAGCTTGCTGAAGATGTCACAGGACAACTCCGTTTTGCCGTCTAAGACGATCACGTCGTCATCCTCGGCTTTCCGCTTACCAAGCACACTGCTGCCGACTGCGTCAATCAGTCGGTCCACTGCGACATTCAGGGAAGACGAGGGGACTGGCTCCTGTGCTTTCTCAGTCCCTGGGCTTTTTCACCTTGAAAGGCCTAACCTACCGCGTCAAGATGGAACTTATGCATCAGTTCGCTGTGTTCTTCCTCCGGTAGCAACGTCTCCTCTTTTAACGACGTGAAGAAGAGGCGCAGATCGGGTTTTCCGGTGGCGATAAAGAGTTCGAGCTGTTTATCTAGGATCTGGAGCAACCGCATCCGTCGCGAATCCGCTTGGAAACCCTTCATCAGGATACCGAGCTCTTCAGAGTCCATTTTAGCATAGTCCCTGCTCATGTGTTAAGTAGCTAGCAGTACCTTAGGTATGGTCGGACTCACCAGATATCGGGGCTGAATAGGATGCCGGGTCCAAGTTCTTTGACCAATTTGTTCCTTAGTTTGCTCCCTCTATTAAGCCGCGTATTGATTCGCTGTCTCTCCAATCGGATCCTTTTGTCACCACGACCAGTCGTAGAACCCGCCGTGGAAGTGCCCAGGTCGTTCTCGCGCTGGAGCCAGTCTCTTCCCTGGATCACGGCTTGTCCAGGGTCGGCCAGACCTTGCATGCAATCTAGCACGTGGATCGCCGCACCCCTTTTACCCACCGGCTTGTTCTTTCTCGTGAGCAATGCGCCTTGAAAATTTTCTACCTGGCTGTCAAACCACTTCGACGCCCCCATATACTCGATCATATTCAGAATTGTCACCTTGCGGTTCGCCGCTGATCCGGCCTCGAGGACCTGCATCCACATAGTGCCATCAGATACCCCTGATGCGGGTGTGCTCGCCGTCTCCGTGCGAGAAAGATCCTGTAGGATCTGGGAATGAATCTGCCTCGAAACGCCGTCCGGGTATTGGCTCAACTCATAGAGCGCCTCGATTGCCTTGACCACCATATCCTCAAGTGTCATGTTTTCTACGTCTCGTCCGCCATCTGACTGAGTGGGTGAGGCGGAAATGCTCCTGAGAGATGCTGGTATCTTCCCTCTCCGGATCTCCTCCGTCGGAGGTGACGTGCCGGCATCCGCTTGCCGAAGAGGTGTTGACGGCACCTGCTTTGGTGGTGTGGTCGGTCGATGTGATCCGCTTGATGAGGCCGGATCACTCGATTCCGGCGATTCGTTCCCCTTCGTCAACGGTACGGGTGCTGTCGTTTTACTTCCCGTCGTCATCTCTTCGTTCGCATCACGCGCAGCCGTGACGCAAGATGCATCTTCCTGGGCGACACTGCCGCTTAGCTTGGCGCTCTGCGGCTCGGAGTTCCTGTCTTCCAGACCTCTTGCCGGATCCGACGGCAGACTGCGCACATCATCCCTCGCGTCTTCCTGCCTCGCTAAGCGTGTGTTCCGGCGTACGCTGCCTTGCGGATCTTGGGTGTCCGAACAGTTTTCTGCTCTCCTGCTCGCGTTGACGGAACTCGGTGGCTTGAAGGGACCATCCGCTCTGGGACTGCGCTTTTTACGCTTTCGGGGCTTATTCGTATGTTCGAGCATTGTCGATCGCTCCAGAGGGTCTTTGATTGCGTCTTGCGGGCGCTCGTCCGTACCGGCATATTCTAGGATCGTGGCGGCGAGTGACCTGGCGGGCTCGCGGGCTTTCTGACAGAGCCGATACACCAGTAAGCGGAACTATGACAATCAGGAGTGAACAGACAAGGCATGCTACTGCTGACTGACCTCCGGTTGATGGTACATTTCGACTATCGCATCTGGCGTAAGAGCGCAGACAAACGTTTCGAACAAAGCAAGCAACTCTCTGCTCTGCTCAGCCGTGCCTGACGCAGTCCGCCCCTTCCTATGGTCAGCCAATGAGACATATCTTGGATAGGGGTCAAGACAACTTTTTGGGCGTCACCCGTCAAATCCATGAGATGATAGACAGGAGAGTCCTTCACTTGACTCTATCAGATGTGGAAATTGGTTTTGGGCTGGCGACGGACTGAGAGCGAATGCAACACCTAAGAGGGCAGAGGTGCCTTGAGGACGGAGTCACTCTCGGAAAGAGCGAGCATATGTGCGAGCACGAGTGCGAACTGCCCGGGTCGTGGGTATCCGACCCCTTCCACGTTAGGAGACCTTATCAGGAACCTGGTAGAAGAGTAGGCCCACCGTTGTGGTGGCGTTCAGCTGAGGCCAGGTCCCTCGCCATCCCAGTGCCATCATTGTGAGCAAGGATCGCCGATGGCGGTCCAAGGACGGATGCCAGCTCACTCACAGCCGGCTCTGAGTGCGCAGAAAGAACCAAAACTAACACATCTGCCTCTTCATGTGAAGCAGGCAAGGAGAGTCATCACACCATCTCAAGAGTCTCGACGGCACATCGTCGAGTCAGCGGAGACAACCCAGCTGAGAACCCCCCTTCAAGAACAGGATGAGGTGATTTCTGCCTACCATCGGACGCCCGGCAGCGGCCCCGGTCGGCTCCACACATTGGCGATGGGGTGAATGAGCCCATCGCGACAGCTGGAAACGTCATCGTAATGCATAATCCATCCTCCCGGCCGAGATGTGCAACGTGGCGCCCTCCGTCCTGCCACGGTGGGCTGATTCCAAGCTTACACCTAGGGCTCAGACTCTGGGGTGTGCTGCAGCTCTCCTGGACTGTGGCCGGTTGGATTGATGCCCGATGACTGTGGCGGTGGAGCTATCGGGCGTTTCGATATCCTAGGATATCCAAAGGCACGTCGGAGACTGGTCCGCTCTCCACCGGGCGCAGCTCCAGACGAATCTTATGAGTATGACGCCGCGTCAAAGCCTTGCTAACCCAGCTCAAAACCAGGTGTGGTGGCGATCCAATCGGCAATGTCAGGTCACCGGTGACGAGGCAGTTCATGTTCCGGACGTCAGGGGCTGATGGAAGGATTGTGGCTGCTGTTCTGTTGCCTCCGGTGCTGCGATGGACTATTGACTCTGTCGCATGCGCATGTCTAGCCTCTGAAGTCAGGTCGGAGACAGGCAACGGGGCGTTGAGTGGTATGAACTTCGTTTCGTGTAACTCACTCGAACAAGCCAGGTCTCTGCTTCCGTGTGGCCCACATGAATCTGCAAGAACGGATAGATGTGAACCCGAAAGGAACTCTGACCTGGTCAGATCGTCGATGAGGGGAGTCTATGCATAGGATTGCATGGTGGACCATTGATAGATCGACGAGGTCAATACACTGGAGTTGGACGGCCAACACGGCTCGGCATGAAGCTGTCATAACGTGGAAGGCGGCGTAGTTGGCACTAGCGGGGTTCAACCCTGCCGAAGGGGAAAGGACCAGTCTTCGCAAATAGTATTAATATGGCACGAGGCTCGCACCCGCTGCCTCTAGTTACCGTGCTCAAAGTGACTTCGCCCGAGAGTATCAGGTCCTCTTACTCCAGTCAATATGACGAATTCGAACTCGCCAACGGAAGAGATCGACAGCCAAACCTACCGTGACTTGGTACACCCCACATGAATGGCCGAAGTGGTCCGGAATAGCTGACACGACGTTCAGATTCTGTCCTCGCGTCTGACACAGGCCCAAGTCCCGGGCGAAGCTGCCAGCGAGCCGTCTGTCTCTGAGACCAGGGCTAGGGTGCCACACATTGATACCGCACTCGCCGAAGACCACGATGGAGGGTTAGATCGTGATCAAGCAACGGCTGAGATGAGAGCTTGGGCCATGGCCTCAGCCGCTGGCCCATCATCTGCTCGAGGAGAGAAAGCAACGTGTCGCAACTTGAGTATGTGCGAGTGGCCGGTAAAAATCTTAACTTTCTAACCGTCACTGCAGACTCAAAGAAGCGCCCTTATGATGACGCCTTCGAGTTCTAAGAGCACAGAGACCTTTTGGACAAACGGTCTAGATATAAGCAGGCGTTGGAAGGTTGTCATCGGATCCATCAGGGAGCCTTGAAGACAATCATTTCGGCAAAGGCGCAATTGGTGGGGAAACACATCGACGTTATGCCAGCCAAAGATTTGACTGCTCCTCTGCAGCACATTGGGCGCCTGGCGCAGAGTATCGAAAGGATGCAACCGGAGCCGTGAGTCGAACGTTGTGCAATAGAGCAGTGTAGTCTGTACGGCAGTTAGCATTTTTTATTCTATTCATTTTACATTTCCATGGATCCCAATTTTCGCCCGTTTCTTCCTGCGATGAGACAGCGCCTTGGCTGTTATGCAACCCTGGCTCCGCGATGGATGGAACCGCGACGTTGTGATTAGATTGCGAGTTCGCTTAAGTATGGCTGGCGTGCAAGAGCCGCAACTCTGGCGGAGCGATCGTGTTGCCAAGCTTACCGTAGCAACTAATTTAGACCGCATTTTAATAGCAGGTGCTTCTAGGAACACATCTACCTGCCCTACGCTGCTTCTATCGTCCCTCACTCAATATCCTATGGCATGTAATCATCTTTGCCGGCCAGGACGAGATTGGTGCCGGTGGTCTCCATCATTTCGCTCCTTTCCTGCGTCTTACTTGCTGCTCTTCGTAGCATACGGGTTCAAAATATCCTAATTCAGACGAGGCGGTTGCCGTTTTGGATGAAGTATATCTTAATATTACAGGCACGACGGCATTAACAATTGGTAGCGTCTCCACCGAACCATGCCATCTCTCGTCCGGTCTGGTCGAATCCTAGGACTGCCAACCTCAGCAACACACACAGATCCTAACTCCGAGTTCATCGTGGCCGAACGAACAACATTCATCTAGATTACGGTCACTTATATCACGATGGCTAGAGACCGACCACCTAGGGACGAGCTCTTACCATTCTGAAGGCGCCTCATTGCAACCTAACGAGAATCGAGTCAGGATGCGCCTCGATGGATAGATCGGGCAGGTCCTCGAAACGAGCTTACCCAGCCGGTGGGTCTTTTAGGCGGCGCTGTCCGCACTCTCCTTGACACGAGGCACATCAGCCACGGACAAGATGCGAATCCGGGTATCATTCCTGTATTAGCATACATCGCCATCCAACCATTCAGAGAAGGAATTCGCGCCAACCGAGGTCAGGATATCTATGGCCGCGTAACCTGCGAAGTGGCCGTGAACTGCATAACCAAAGACGCGTGAGTAGCATATCCTGGACTTTCCCCGATGACTCTCTAAGCCACTGTCGACTGACGTCAAGTTGCCGTGAGCAAGCGTAGGAAGCCCGCAGCAAGGCTCTGGAAGAACGGTCGAATGCTGCATCGGCCGATCAGGACGGTTGACGAGAGGCTGCGCATTCCGCCGACGGCGAAACCGAGATGATAGCTGCATCCAGGTTAATGTAACAGTGGCGGCCTCAGATAAGACAGCCACCATATGAGTCTCGTCTAATGATTGGGCTGGCCTGCTGCTCGACGATCGACTGTCGTCAGTGACCGTCCCCGCGGGAAGCACGTGCCTGTCGGGGCGAAGCCTCGAGTATGACTATATAAACGGTCCTGCCCCCTCCGTTGGCCTCCGCAGCTTCTTCACCCTTCCTTTCACTATTGCCGATCACGTGTATCCCTTATCGACATGGCACACGTCCGTATCCCCTCCGATGGTTCTGACTCGTCTCTTCCGTCTCTTGCGGAGCTGACGGGCCGGAGGCTGAAAAAGAGACGGCAAGGTATGGACTTGTTCGTCCCGTCCGACTGTTGCTGCTTACAATGGACAAGCAGGTCCTATGCCGGAGCCTGTTCGCTGCTCCGGATGCGGGATAACGCTCCAGGCCACTGAGAGGACATACTTCCTCCCCTTCTGTCATTGTGTGAGTACATTTGTATATGGGACATCTCATGCTCCTGCCTTGTCGCAGTCCCGTTACTGATTCCTGAAGCTCTATTGCAACCGATGCGTCCTTCGGCCGATTCTAGATCGCCTCGCATCGACTGGGGACGACCATACCCGCGCTGCCGTTGATCTGTTCGATGCCCTTGTGGGCAACACGACGAAGCCACCCCTCTCCTCGATGAACGTGTTCAAATGCAAAAGAGAAGACCACCCTCAATTGGCTGGCGCCATCGAATGCTACGGCACTGTATGTGCCCTGTGCGAATGGGAAGACTCACCGAGCCGCGGATGCATGTATCTGCCCTGTGGTAAGCTACAGGAAATGCTCGCTCAAGAGCTGTGCTAAGATTTCAGGACATCCATTTTGCGAGCTTCACATTACAACCTATTTCGAAACATCGGGGAGGAAATGTCCAACGTGCGCAAGAGTTGCTCCTGGGGAAGATGCACATTTTAAGCGAGATGGTACATATGTGCTTGGTTGGCCACGTAAATTTTGATGGAACTATATACTGGAGTCGAGATGGGCCTCGAGACCTCTTCGGCTTGGCACAAGTGCTGAGCTCCGGAATAGTACGAGCTATGGAATGGTACGTGAATGAATGACACCTCTCCCTCGTCCTATCACGCTGGAGTCCCTCCAAGTTCGCGCGTCGGACCTCTGAGGCCTGCGCCCTACATCCTGCGATCGGCTGAGCATGAATCTCAAGCCGCGCCGGCCCTAGCATGACCGTTAGTCGTCAGCTCCGCCTCTCGAGTCCTGCTGATGCGCTAGCCGTCCAGGGAGTCTTCTACAAGCCCCTCAGCTGGCCAGACGCGCCCTACTGTCTGGGCCATGTATCAAAGTGTGGTGGCGAAGCAGCCATGGCGCGTCTTGACCAGGGTAAGGAGAGCTGCTTGTAGAAGCATCCACGGCGAATTCATGCATTTCTGGGAGGTCCTAATGTCGGCTAGAGAATGTGCTCCGTGGCTGTGACGGCTAGCTACGACGTCGGGAGCTTGTCCCCAAGGTTGACGTGGCAGGAAGAACTACGGCAGTGTCCACATCCGCGTGATGCGAAGAGCAATCGGACGCAGGCCTTGAACGGCTTGCTCGAACGACGAGCTGAGACGACTCGAGCCGGAATCCCCAACGGCGCGACGGTGAGGCGACCGGGCGTCCCATGTGACTGACATTTTCGCACCGGAACAACTGGCTATGGCGACCTGATCCACGACACCGAGGGCAGTGCAGCAGCAAAGCCACTGCCATGTCATGGTGGGTGACATCGGGTGGGAATGTGCTTCCGAATCGTCTAGATGCCTGACTATGGCGTCTCAGGACCCCGGGACAGGAGGGCAGCCACCAGCGCATCCTCTGAGTTGGTTACATCCGAAGGGGACGCTATTGCTAGGGTATATTCATGCGGCATGACGGCAATGGCCGGTCCGAAAGATAAAAGGAGAGGCTAGCCCCCTAATCTATCACATTACGCTCACTTCTGACCTCAGCCCTCGAGCTGTCTTTCATTAACAAGTTCACCGTTGTCCAGTATGCCTTCGTCTGAACACGAATCACCTAACATGGCGTATTTGACGAACTCCAGTTCGGAGGAGCTACTCTCTTCGCTGCGGCGCTCTTTCCAGGGCAAGCAGAGAATTGTTGCCGTGACTGGCGCCGGCATCTCTGTGAACGCGGGCAGTAAGTCAAGCACCATTCACATACGCAGCATCTCATGAGCGAGTGTCATCAGTTCCGGATTTCCGCCGCGGCACAAAGTTCGGAAAGCAATGATTCCATATATCAGTCTACGATTCGGACGAGTCCACTGGCCGGTTCCATGAAATGATTCGCACAATGCACGACAAGGCCCGCAACGTGGAACCTACCGGGTTTCACCACTTCTTAGCTGGTCTTGCTGAAGCCGGCCGCCTGCGTCGACATTACATGCAGAACATCGACGGCATTGACTCCCGTTCAGCGTCCTATCGAGGCTTCAAGAATCTGGACTTGCTCCCAATCACAATTCACCTACACGGCAGCCTGGACAAAATGTTCTGTCACAAGTGCCAACGGGAGTTCACTTTCGACGTCAACTGTTTTCACGGTTCGGAGACGGTGAAGTGCGGAAACTGCATACGGCTCGAGGAGGAACGGGACAGGAAGAGGGAAGCGCATGGAAGACCGCCCGCTAGGAAAGCATCACGGATCGTCGGAGCACTACGACCGAAGGTTACCCTTTATGAAGACGAGCACCAATCGATTGATGCGAGTTACGAGCGGGCCATCACAAAGGACTTTCGCAAAGCCCCTGATTGCGTCATTATTGTAGGTACGAGATTGCAGATTCCCAAAGCACGGAGGCTAGCGGAGATCCTAGCAGCGAAGAGCAAGGATAAAGATGGTCTTGTGATATATATTAACAAGGAACAAGCGTCTCTGGGGCCGAAGATGGACTCTCTCATAGATTTTCGCTTCGATGGAGACTGCGATGATTTCGCTTCCTTGATGCAAGAGACTAGACGGTGAAGTTGCATAGCAAGTCTCTGACGGCGAAATACAAGCTTAGTTTAGAGTGGCATGATGGCGAACGCTAGGTGCATCCAGTGCCTAACATGCGCACAGTCTATTATATTCTCACGGAAATGGTGAGCTAGAGATTGTACGAGCAAGCTGCAGGCGGAATACCTGCACTTGATAGCGGAATAGTACATAAATGCTACAGTACGGATCATTACGAACAGCGGAGTAGTATGTGAATGCTACAGTGCGTACTCTTACGAACAATGGAGTAGTACGCGAATGCTGCAGTGCGGATCATTACAAGTAGCGGAGTAGTACATGAATGCTACGCTACGGACTATTACGAACGGCGGAGTAGTACGCAATGCGGATCATTACGAGTAGCGGAGTGGTACGAACAGCGGAGTAGTACGCGAATGCTGCAGTGCGGATCATTACAAGTAGCGGAGTGGTACGAATAGCGAGTAGTACGTGAATTCTACAGTGCGGATCATTACGAACAGCGGAGTAGTACGTAGATGCTACAGGACGGATCATTACGAATAGCGGAGTAGTACGTAAATGCTATACTACGGACTATTACGAACAGCTGAGTAGTACGTGAATGCTACAGTGCGGATCATTACGAACAGCGGAGTAATACGTGGATGCAGCACGTGAACGCATGGGTCCCGATCAGGCTCTTTAGGAACGGGATCCTGAAAGGGCCTCAAGGAGCTCGATTGGGCTCTATGAAGCACCGACCTGTGATGACCCAAACTGGCTCCAACTAAAGGATCTTAAATACGTTATCAGGGTGAGAGCGAGCAGGACGTCCTGCGATGGTGCCACCACTTTTCGAAATCGAAATCGACATCGCGACGCTCAACCATCCATATATGCAGGGGTGATTTTTCGGCCTTGCCGGTGCCCATTTTCGATCTTTTCTCCAGCACTGTTTCTAGGCCGTCCGGGGTTAAATTATCTCCCGTGGCCGAAAATGATTGCGTAGTCAGGCAATTGCCAGATTCAATCGACCAATTAAGTTCGGGCGTCTTTTCTAACCCCTTAACCTGCACTTTTTTAATACTTCAAGACTTCAGACCATTAAACGTACGGCAGATGCCGAACTAAATGGTGGCGACCGATGCAGTATGTCAACAGCAGATTATGATAGGACCAATAAGCCCAATGGAAAATCACAAAGGAAGAGTGCCAAACAACTTGAAAGCGATAATTATCTACGTCAAAAAAAGAACCTTGTCAAGAAATGCAACAGGATGAGGGAACGTTTCGGCATAGATATCTATCTACACATACGTCGGACGGGACGACAAGATATCTATACGTCTTACGACGACTTCTCATGGCCTAAAGGAATAAAGGATACGATTGTAAGCCAGCATTACCTCTCGTTTCTCGACTCAACTGACCCAGCTGAGGCCAACTGCTATCCACTCCCAAATACAATGACGCCTGCAAATTTCGAGCAAGACACAGAGAAGGCGGAGGAGAAAGGGCAAAAGGAGTCGTCTTGAAGCTGTGACGGTTACCTCGTAGATAAAAAGCTAATGAGACGTTGTATTCGTTGGAAGGTGGTAGAACGAGGGCTTGTGAAGCATATGAGACAGAGCTCAGGCGCAGTTAATAGAGACATTCAAGAGACTGGAGGCAGGAGCACCTCTCTGCACGCTGACTAGTATGAATGAAAGGAACGGAAAACACTGGACCAAGACGGGCTGCAGTTCGTTTATGCTATCCTCGAATTTCACATGAAACTCAAAGAAGGACGCTGAAGGGAGATATAACTTAGAGCACATGTCATTGGTCGGCCATCTACTGCAGGAATCCGTCAGCGACATTTTTAGAAATGGGGTTGGCACGCGAGCGGACTTGGAGAAATGATCAAGATAGGACTGGCATTAGAATAGATGATGACACAAATGGGATCTGAAGAGGACTGGTGAAGCACATGACATACAGCTCAGGCACAGCCAATAGAGACATTCAAGAGGCTGAAGGGAGGAGCACCTTTCTGCACGCTGACCGGTAGACCGCTTGCGACGACGTGGTGTGATTGAGAGTAATAAGGGAGTCGGAAAAGCCGGATGCGAGTGATTGTAGACGAGAGACAGACAGACAGAACATCCAACATGCGAGCTGACCAGCACAAGCGTGAAGGATGGAGTTTTTCGTGATGATGCGATTTCATTGTGATTTGAGAGATCGAAGATAGACCGCTGAACCAGGACCCCCTAGGACGGCCCTTGCAACATGTGCCAGCGCAGTCGCACCGCGCCCGGTGTCCTGCCAGGAAATTTGGGAAATATCTCCTTCCATGGCAGTTTGTCCTCCTCCTTGCATTCCCGCAAGAGTTTCTCCTCCGGTTCTGTCCAACGACTGCCGCTGGCCCTCGCTTCCTCGCCTTGAGAATCGCCGCCAGCCCGGCTGGGATCGACATCACTGTCGCTCGAGCCGGAGTCGTCGTCGTCCGGGGACTCATCGCTCGAGAGGGTAGCTCCTGCCTGGGCAGCTCCATTGCGCAGAGTGTACGTAGCCTCCTCTGGGTCGCTCTCGGAATCGCTCTCAGAATCACTGCAGACGCCGACTGCTTCTGTCGCCGTTTCAGTAGCGGCGGGCTCGGGCGCATGGCGACGGGCGTGAAGGAACCCGGTCACCAGCCACGAATTCAGCGCGAGCGGCATAATGGTGGTGCCGTCAATATGCCCTGCATCACCAAGCGCAGTCTGGATGAGCGCCAGTGACTCATCATAAGAGAAGGCTGGCACGTTGCGATCGTCCTGGATGACAGTCGCCCAGAATGACACGCCTGCAGAGACTCGCCTCAGACTTGTGTTAGTGAGCTTCTGCGGAGTTGGGCTAGACAAAGTGCTACCACCGTCCAGCGGCAGCATCACTTCCGCGGTAGCAGATTGCGGCAGGAGAGAGGGAGAGTCGGGTCCACCTATGAGACGAGATAGAGAAGACCTGACCGTCGTACGACTGGGCTGAGACGGGCGCTTGGGTCGTGCTTTCCGCTGCAGAACCGCAGCCTTCTGCTGCTTGACGCGGCGGACGGTGGCAACTTTCGATGATGAGTTCTGTTGCCCGGCCCGCTCCCGTATGGACTGTTCGCTCTCGCCGGCGGCATGTGGGCCCTTGACACCGCTTCGTCGGAACCCGCCTTTCGTCGCAGGCTTCGGAGCCTCCATGGGCCGAGTGGTGTCGATGGAGCTTCGCAGTCGTCGAGGCACCGTCGTACCCCCAAGACCAGCTCCGTCGTCAGCACTGCCTTCGACCACAGCCATCTCTGTGTCTCCATCGTTCTCTGGCGTCTCCAGCGCGTCAACCGGATGCGTTTCGTTCCTGTTCCGGTCGCTTGGCGACGGACTGGAAGAGAGCGCTGTGCCAGAAACGGTATCCCGCGGATTGAAGTCATCTCCGGGAGTTCTGCTATCGTTGTTCCCGCCGTGTTCACCGATGCGAACATCGCCCTCGCTGCTGACGAGCGGATGTGGAGGGTCGGCATCGTCGCGGACGTCACTGCTGGCGCTTCCATCGCGCGTACCGCCGTTTTGTGGGTTCACGGCGTTGCCCGGAGTTGGCGAGCCTGGCCTCGGCGTGGAAGTGCGACTCAAGGCTGAACGGTAGTGCGACAAAGAGCACGGTCGCTGTCGCTTTGAGGAATGCGCGCGTCCATCATGCCTTTCCGAGATGGGCTCCGTCGGTTCACTGATGATCGACGTGTCTGTACCGGCAGACTCGGCGTGCTTCCGCTTGTGTGACCAGCGCAGCGTGCTTGCCGTGTTGAGATCGTCACTGCGGCTTCTGTCCCGCCCAAGGACACCATCTACGGACACGAGAATGCGCCCTGACGCTTGCATGACACGGATTTCTTACCATGCTCCCTCACTCCGTCATCACCTTGAGACGTATAGTCCTGTGCTAGACCTGGAAGCATATCTCCCTCATTATCCCCATTGCCTCCATCGTCCTCATCGTCCCCATCTGCATGATAGGATCGATCACGGCAAATGCCCAGAGAGCCGCCGCGGCGACGTTCGGCGGCGGTGGCCGCGTCGTTTTCCGACTCGTCATCCTCCGACTCGTCATCGGTCGAATCATCGGTCGAATCATCGGCAATGATCATCGGGCGTTCTACCCATTGTTAGAAAGACATATTCTCCATAGTGTGTTGGCCTACAAGCCGCGAGCTTACCTCGGCAACTGCCCTCACGAGGATCAGTTGGACTGGGCGCTACTTGTTCAACAACCGCCGCTCTCAGATCTACCTTCTGGCTTAGTTGGCGCCTCTTCCGAGGCCCAGAGACAGTGTTGTCGCCTTCACGGTCGACTGCATCGCCTGTGTACGCCTGTTAGCTCGGGTGTGCTCTCACGCTGTGGAAAACGTACTTGAATGTAGCGACTCCTGAGATTTGGTTGGGTCAGCAGTCGAGAGAAGTTGTTGCACGTCATCGGACGTAAGATCGCACTCAGACACGGTCTCCTCCAGGGCCTCGTCAATATCGTGCCACTCGTCGGTCGTCAGCTCGACCCGTTTGCGTGGACGTCGCTGAGCGGGTTGGAGTTTCGGAGGGGTATAACAAATGAACTTAGGGGAAACAGGGGGGAAACGGAACTGGTGAGTAGTGGCCATAGCCTTGGCCGCTGCTAGTCAATTGAACTCGTCACGAAGAAGCGTGAAGAGGCGGGTTCGCGCCAGCTTAAGTGGGCGTGGGCGTGGGCGCTGGCGCTGTTGCGTTTCTCTCCCAGCCGTCCATTTCTGCGGTCACAGCCTCGAAATCCAGGCGCGCCCCGTCCTAGCCCGTCACCGGCTGTGGACATCGGGATAGCATCCTGGAGAGTGCGCATAAATCACGCGTCCGCACACCCAACCTTTGCGCCGTGGCCGTGCTGGAGGGACTCCAAAGAAGGCCTGATCCGTGACCATGCCGAGGAAGACAGCAAATTGAATGTCTCCGACTGGAATCCACCTCGTATGCGATTCCGCTGTGACGCTGCGACGCTGCGACGCTGCGACGCTGCAACCCCTGAGAAGAACCTTCACGCCGCAGACACGCAAGGTTGCGTGACAGCAAATCTGGAACGATTGTCTCAGGATCAACGGGCAACCAACAGCGAGCGCGAGGTTCAGAATCCTGCGAATCCCTCTTCCATGCTGGGCTGAGGCTGCAGGCGAGGCGTTTTCATGCGCTCTGCAGTCTGCCCGGCCTCTTGCTCCTCCGGTCGCATCCCACACCGCTCTCCGTCACCCGGTCAACCCGGCAGCCTCCTCCTCTCCAGCTGACCAAAGTCGGCGCAGATCTGAAGCAGAAGGCGAAGCAAGATGCCAGCCCGCTGCGGATCCACGGATTCCCACTTACGCGGCAGTGCATAGACCGCACTCCGACTGCTGCGTCGGCTCCTGCGTCGGCTCCTGCTTCAGTTCCTGCTCCTACAGCACCCGTTCCGCTAGACCGTCATGCAACACGGCGCTGCAACCTGACGCATCATGTAAGCCACAAAGACGACTATCCACCGAGCCGATCTCATGACGCCACGTCATCTCCCTGGCAAGGATGCGCCTCGCATAGCGTCGCGCCCATCCGCAGTTGCGGGGCTGAGCCGGTGCCCTAGCTGCAGGCTGCCGGCCTGGCATCCGTGTCGCCGCGGAGACGCCAGATTTCAAAGCAGAGTGGGCAGGGAATTCCGACCGCAGCAGTTGGGGGGCCAGTGAGCGGGCCCAGGCCAGGCCGCATGACCCCGAAGGAAGCGTCTGAGATGGGACCGAATGAAACGCCGCCGGCAGGCACCGGGAAGTCAAGCCAGGCGGCCGAGTGATGATGACATGTCGGCCCACAGGAGCTGAGCTGGCTCGCCGATGCCCCACCGCGCCTGTTGCACCACCGAGGAGTTATGCGCGGGACGGTAGGCGGCGATGCAAGCATGGAGTGCAGGCCTGAGCGGGATTTCCGGGTTGCTTCCGGGGGAAGTGGTCTCGCAATCGGAAGTCGTGGTACGATCGCGATCGTGATCGTGGAGTTCAGGAGATCGAGTTGACTAGGAGCGACGAGCCATCGAATTGCAAACGCAGCATCCTTAGAAGGGTCGAACAGAGCTCGGGAGACAGCGCGTGCGAGAAAGGTACACGGCGGCACGGCGGTGCACGTAGGCCAAAGCAGCTGCGTCCGGCGCTGCGGGAGGATCCCACATCGCGCTCGCTCTGGCATCGTCGTCAGCAACGGAGACGCCGGAAATTCTTAGTGGGGAAGCAAGGCAGTGCGACGGCAGCGGAGTGACGAACCTGCATGAGCGCCAGGCGGCTGGGAAGGGGAAGAGGGAAGGGAAAAAAAGCCTCACGGTCAAGGGCCTCAGGGCGGCAATGAGTCAACAGTGAGGGACGCGGCGTGAGTGAGAGCGAATGCGAGGTTTTGGGGAGGAGGCAGGATTGAAAGGTAAAGAAAACCAGAGGGGGAGGAGGCGTCCTTTTATGGTGGACGTCGGAGCGGATCGGCTGAGTCAGGCGGGGCCTGAGGGCTGGCGCTTTGCCCTGAAGGGATACCGCAGTTTCCTGATAAGGCTTTGCCACCAGCTTCTTTATAGTAATAATTAGGTAAGAGCTATATATCTATTAGTTAAGCTTTATACTAGACTAATTTATTAAAAAGCTATAAGGTTTAATAATGTACTTTATAAGCGAACCGACTACACAAGCGAGCCGACTACCTTTTTCTTGGCAAGAAAATCAACGAAAATTAACCTGTTTTTCTTAAATAACTAAGCGAAACCTTAATATTTTTATATAAAAATTTATATATATATTCTCTATAGTATATTACACCTTATAGTAAATTTGCACTAAGATATATTACGTAATTAAAAAGCTATACGTATTTAACTAACTTTTAAGAAAAAATCTAGTTTACTTCTAGTTAGTACTATTATATCTCTATAATAATATATAAAACTTATAGTATATAGTATCTATAACGTAATAAAGGTTTCTAGAAAACTTTTATAGCGCTAGCTCTTCTAGGTATAGCGTAATAAGAGATAGAAGTTAGAAAAATTTCTTCTTTAGAGTTTTCTCTTCTAACTATATATATATTAGCTAATCTAGCTATATAAACTTATAATTTTATAAATTATAGTATACTTAAACTATATATAGCTTATTAACTAATAATATAGTAGCTTTAAGTAGTTATTTAAAAGTAAAGTCTTTTTAGTAGTATAGTATAGAAAGATAGAAAGATACTAAAACTATATTAAAATTATTACTTCTAAATATATAGAAGGCTTAACGTACTTTATTATCGAATTAACTATATTATTAAGCCGACCACTTTCTCTTAGCAGCGAAAATTAACGAAAATCAACCTGTTTTTCTTAAATAACTAAGCGAAACCTTAATATTTTTATATAAAAATTTATATATATATTCTTTATAGTATATTATACCTTATATAAAAGTTACACTAAGACATATTACGTAATTAAAAAGCTATACGTATTAAACTAACTTTTAAGAAAAAATCTACTTTACTTCTAGTAAGTAGTGTTATATCTCTATAATAATATATAAAACTTATAGTATATAGTATTTATAACGTAATAAAGGTTTCTAGAAAACTTTTAGAAAGCTAGCTCTTCTAGATATAGCGTAATAAGAGATAGAAGTTAGAAAAATATCTTCTTTAGAGTTTTCTCTTCTAACTATAGATATATATAGTTAATCTAGCTATATAAACTTATTATTTTATAAATTATAGTAGGCTCTAACTATATAGAGCTTATTAACTAATAATATACTAGCTTTAAGTAGTTATATAAAAGTAAAGCCTTTTTAGTAGTATAGTATAGAAAGATAGAAAAATACTAAAACTATCTTAAAATTATTACTTCTAAATATATAACAGATTTATAGTATATATAATCTTATAATATATAACTTTATATAGCAAGATAACTTATATATATCTATAGTTAGAGAAGAAAACTCTAAAAAGATTTTTTTAAAATTCTATCTCTTATTACGCTATACCTAGAAGCGCTAGCTCTATAGAAGTTTTCTAAAAACCTTTATTATATTATAGATACTATATACTATAAGTTTTATAGATTATTATATAGATATAATAGTATTTTCTAGAAGTAAACTAGATTTTTCTTAAAAGTTAGTTTAATATATATAGCTTTTTAATTACGTAATATATCTTAGTATAACTTTAACGTAAGGTATAATATACTATAAAGAATATATATATAAATTTTTCTAGAAAAATATTAAGGTTTCGCTTAGTTATTTAAGAAAAACAGGTTAATTTTCGTTAATTTTCGTTGCTAAGAGAAAGTAGTTAGCTTAATAATATAGTTAGTTCGATAATAAAGTACGTTATTATTACGGTACTAACCTATCTACGCAGCTACGTAACCTTAGCTATTTTAGCGCCTTAGCGTAGTAGATATCTTCTCTACGCCTTTACGTCTTTATAGCTTAATATTATATAACTTATTATATACCTTAAATTCTTATTTCTTATCTACGCTATAATAGTTTATATAATTCTACTATTAGCTCTACTACGTACTATATAGTCTAGCTAAATTATAACTAAAAGAAACTTACTCTATAATTCTAGAAACTAAAATACTATAAGTAATACCTAGAAGAAGAACTAGATAGAAACTCTAGCTATAAACCT